GAAATTAAAAAAAAAATTGAAGTTTTAAAAAAAAAAAACTGCAATTTTTTTTTCAAAAAACTACATTTTTTTGAAAATAACTGTATTTTTTTCCAAAAAAACTGCAATTTTTTCAAAAAAAAACTATATTTTAAAAAAAAATTGCAGTTTTTTCTAAAAAAACTGCATTTAAAAAAAAACATTGTAACCTTTTTCAAAAAAACTGCATTTATTTAAAAAGTAAACATTTAAAAATCAAAAAATTAAAAAAAGCTAGAATATTTAAAAAAAATAAAACTCTAATTTTTTTAACATAAAAAAAATCAAAGTTTTAAGTGCATATATGCACATTTTTTCAAATGCATATATGCATATTTCTTATACTATAATATTCGTAAGTAAATCATAAAAAATCTAATTTTTATTAATCAAAGTATAAACATAATAATACAAGAATTTTATTTGATACAAAAAAAAATAAGAAATGCTACAAAGATTTACAATGTTGTCAATTCTTCATATCAAAATTTCCATATTTTCTTCAATGTATCACTTTACAACTCGCCGTGCTCAAACGTGTCCGAAGGTTGGGAAAACCCTAACCGACTCGCCGAGTCATTCTACTTACTCGTCGTGTATATGACAATCTCCAAAGGACTCGCCGAGTTGTTCATCCAACTCGTCGAGTACAGGACCATCTTCATGTGGCTCGCCGAGTTTACTATGCAACTAGCCGAGCCCCCTCCAGACCTTCAACCATTCAGGTACTTTTTAAGCCATGCAACGACTCCATATTGCAGATCTAAGCTCCTAAGGCATGCTTTATCACGTAAAGTTGCAAACTTTACGTGCATGCAAGGCCCTAGAGACTCTAAATGACCAATCCAAGCTTTCAATGGAGCTCTACACCTTAGGAGAGTCTCATTCTTGCAAAAACTGGAAACTTTAAGGACTTAGAGACCCAAGAGAGTTTAGATCTGAAGTTGCAACCTCAGATCTTAGCTCAAACACAAGAAGGCTTCCTAATAAGCTAGAAAGCCCTAAAATCCACCCAACATAGATCTAGAAAGAAGAGGGGTTAGGATAACGGCTTAATACCTTCTAGGAGGATGCCAACTGAAGTAGATTTCGGTTCCACACGTTCCTTGCCCTTAGCCACTTGATTTCCAAGCTTCTTCCCACCAACAATCCTCTTCCCAAGCTTAAAAACACAAATGGGGGTATGCTCACACGAATTAGGGTTTGAGGGTATCAAGTAACTATAAAGGGGAGGCTGGGGAAGGCCAATGATAGGCCACTAAAATACGGTTTCAACCCTAAACCCCGGGATTTAGGGTTTCATCTGCCAGCTCCTACTCGTCGAGTCCCTTCTTGGACTCGGCGAGTAGGCCACTAAAATACGTGGACCAACCCGCTGCTACTCGACGAGTAGGGCAACCAACGCATCGAGTAGACCTTGAATCAAAGAAATTCTTTTACAAAATCGATACCTGAGAATCAGGGCGTTACAATTCTCCCCCACTTGAACTAGACTTCGTCCTCGAAGTCTGCCGCGACGAATAGCTCCGGGTAGTGCTCCCGCATCTCTGCCTCTGGCTCCCAAGTCCACTCGGACCCCCTCCGATGTTCCCACTGTACCTTTACCAAAGGTATCTCCTTGTTCCGCAGGACTTTCATTTTCCTTTCCAGTATGGCCAGAGGCCTCTCCACATAATTCAGGCGCTCATCGACCTGAATATCATCCAACGACACCACTGTCTCCTGATCCATAATGCACTTTCGCAACTGCGAAACGTAGAAAGTGCTGTGAATCCGACTAAGCTCTTCCGGTAGCTCTAGCATGTAAGCCACCTTGCCAACCCTGGCAATGATCCTGAATGGCCGAATGTAACGGGGACCCAATTTCCCCCTCTTCCCGAAGCGAATCACACCCTTCCAGGGTGAGACCTTCAGGAGTACCATATCACCCACCTGAAATTCTAACTCAGATCGTCGTCTGTCGGCGTAACTCTTCTGCCGACTCTGAGCGGCCTGCAATCGCTGCCTAATCTGCTGAATTTTCTCGGTAGTCTGCAAGACTACTTCCGTCCGCCCCATCACCATGTGCCCGACCTCACCCCAACAAACCGGGGTGCGACATCTCCGCCCATACAACAGCTCGAAAGGCGGGGCGCCAATGCTGGAATGATAGCTGTTGTTGTAGGCGAACTCCGCAAGCGGTAGGTGGGAATCCCAACTCTGACCGAAGGCAATGAAACACGCCCTCAACATATCCTCGAGGGTCTGAATGGTCCGCTCGCTCTGACCGCCGGTCTGCGGATTGAA